CTTTCTATGTTTCTATGTTTGATGTTTTCCACGTCAAAAATACGTTCTCCAGGTTCACCAAATCCAAAAAAGCCAAATTTCCGAAAACATTTTGTCTCGACGCCGGGCTTCAACCGCTTCTGTCTCCACCCAGCTACGTCCTGGCACCACCATCTTTACCGGCAACAAAGAACTTATGTTTACTAAGCGTCCAGCAATCAAACATCATTCACTCTGCGACTTCAAGCGGGAAGTCATCCTCAAATCCAGCTTCACTGCACACCTACGGTAATTAAGAAAGACACTGTCCACTTAATTGTAACTTCTCACCACAGCACATTTTTAGGGACCCTCGGAAGTTTTGGTTTATCTTTTTGTCATTCTGCATGACTTCCTAGTGACCAAGGCGACACTGTGGCTGAGGGTACACCCTTTGGAGGGACCATGAACACAGTATTCAGGAAGTGAGACCGGGCTTGGAGAAACCAGGCAAGCGAATACAGTCAGAATTCTTTCTGAACCTGATCATCCCACACGCGGTCAGAGTGGGACTTGCTTTCTCGATGGGCATTTACGACAGAAACTACGACACTATAGAAAAAGTGCCAGGGAACCATGCCAGCAAGAAAGAAGGCGGCAGCAAAGAGAAGAGACAAATGAGAGCATCAGGTAACACAGACTGGAGTCTCGGAAGTTCAGGGTTGAGCTCCTTACACTTAGATTTTCATTAACTGGCTGCAAAAGGTAAAACGTCTTAGAAATCCTCTAACTTGGGGAAATGCAGCAAGCACTAAGACAAAATTAGGTGCTGTCCTTTTTACAACAAACTTAAATTCAATATTCTGATATCATGACTTAGACAAATTAGGAAATTTCTTGCAATCATTTTCAAGTATGTATAGAAAAGAGGGAGTGAAATCTAGACTAATCTGTGGTAAAATGTCTATACTGCTGTAATTATCATAGAGACAGAAATAAAGATCATTCTACTTAGCTTCTTTGAAATAAATGCTAAAAGTAAGTACTTATAAAAATGAAAGAGCAATATCTGAATTAAAATTATTTTAAATCTCTGGTTAAAAAACAAGCATCCGCTGATATTTTCGCGGTAAATAATATCTGAGGAGGTCAATCACGAAACATTCCCTCACGTGCTGAGGATCAACGGGGGTAACGCAGGAGGAACCAGAGATGGTACTTGGGAACCAGCATATGCTCAGTGAGGTTATCCTTTTTCACAAGTCTGGAACCAAAGGGACTTTTTCTAAGTAGGCTCCACGCCCAGTGTGCGGCTTCAACTCCCGACCCCGAGATCAAGAGTCACATGCTCTACCGACTAAGCCAGCGAGACCCCCCAAAAGGATTCTACTACCAACGATAAATAGTATAACACCTGTACGACATTAAGAGTCAAATCAAATCATAATTTATCATGGTCCTCAAACCAGCTCCAAAACATCCGCTTTGCTTCCAACGCCTCTTATGAAGTATCGGTGGCAGACACTGCCTGTCACCTAAGTAGTGGCATTTGTCAGCTGAAGCCCCAAATCAGTGGCCCAGTAGGTTTTGCCTTACTAAAAGGAAGAAGAAACACAGAGTACTCAGAAAAAAAACAACACAAGTGTGAAGGATGATTCCTGCTCTGTTGTTTAACCAAGGTATGCAGAGAAAAAAGATCCGGATGAGAGCATAAAAATACTGACAGTGATTACTGCTGTAGAGAGAGATCGATGGGCCATTCCAATATTTCTTCTTGGCATGGTTTTATGCATTTGGATAAATCCTCTACTACTGTTCCCAGTAAACATTTTTTAAAGATAATTTAAACAAAAGAGGCAACATGTAACTGTAATGCAGGATTTTTGAATTCTACCCATATCCAACTATCAATTTAATAAGCAATCTGACAGACTTTTTACTTAAGAATGGTTTGAGAAACTTCTAAATTCCTTTCTTTGGAGTAGGCAGAGTTCCTGAATTCAAAAACAAAAGACCTATTTATGAACCAAGAGACGTCTTTAGAATTTTCCAAGTCGCTCCCTTTTGTCGGCCCCTCCCCCGCCACCATACATGAAAGCAGTAACAGGTTTTTACCCTTACGCACACTTCCTAGTTAAGCAAATAACCATATAACCCCAAACCTCCAAAATGCGGGAGGTAGGGGAGTAGGGGGTGGAGGGCAGGGAGGAGTAGGATTTCCAGAGGCTTACATCAATTCAGGATGGAGGGAAATGCAATTTTTCTTACAAGTGGCTCCTGATACACCTTGTAGCCGAACTGTTTTTACAGAGACCTGTGGCGATCAGCTGTGCCTTCTGCAGAGTAATTTAACTACTGAACAGCTGGGAGGAGAAACAGATTTAGTGGAAAAAAGCACCATGCCGACTGACAACGGTGTCCATATTAAACTCTGTATTTTGTCTGAGTCGGAGTTTGGGTCATGTAAAAGTGAAACTGACCCAAGAGAAGAGAACGGTTTCTCACAGATTGCCATTTAAATCTCAAAGGACCATGTTTCACAGCATGCTCAATACCTTTCAGCATGTAACTGCATTTTAATTTCCTAAAACCACAGGACATAAGTCTGATTTCAAATAGTGTCTGGACTGTGATACTCAATACTGATAAAACCGTACGGTGTTCTCTTGCAAGTTCCAAAGACTCGGCATACGGAAAAGGATCTTCCTTTTCTTTGAAGAAGAAAGCTTAGTCCTCTGACTTTTGTAAATGGATTCTGAACAATGAATATGTTAAGACCTAGAGCTTACGCCGTAAGAACTGGAATGTAACAGATTACAGGAGAAAAGCATGTCGTGCACACCCTCCACTCGCCATGGTGTAGTCCCGTCGAAATGAGACTTCAAATTTTCTTTGCCATGAAATGCTCCTCAGTGCTAACTTCAGAAAATGAGTTTGAAGTCTATTAACATGAATAAATCTTTACTTGAATGTTCAGTGCATGGAAATTATTCAGTTACCTTTTCAGCTTTCTACAACAGACAGAGCCTGTGGTTGGCTTAATCTCCAAATAGTATATAAGAGAAGCAACCTTTAAAATAGATCCAGGAAAGAAAAAGGGGACGGTGAAACTGCGTCTTACGTTTGGGAGTCAGAAACCAATTCGTGATCATTTTTATTTAGTTGGAAGGAACTTATCCACTTTTGTATGTGAACGTGAAATAAGGCAGTAAGACGGTTAGCTGTTCTCACCAGAAGGAAATGACTCTGAGCTGCCCTTGAGAAAAGCTAAAAAGGAAAAAACAATTTTTTTGAAGGGACAGCAGGTAAGTATTTGCTTTCCTCTGAACTACCACTGCCTTCGCTTTGAGCCTGACTCAAACGCTGACAAATTCAGTACGGCTGTCCGTAAGCAACGCATCTGTCTGTCTGATCAGTCAGGTGTAATTCTACTTAAAATGAAATAATGAAATGCTGACAATCGGAGGTGCAGAACTATAAAGCCCTGGTTGTTCTACGAACCCTAAATGTCTAGGAAGCCTGGGGTGACCTCGGGGTGTCTGGTGTAGGAGTCAGGTGGGTCCCTATGGCCACTTGTTCATCAGATTCTAAGGTATCACCATGTGTAAGAAGTGCCCACTCTTGACTGCATAACAGCTTTTCAAGGAGATGTCAAAATACAATGAAACATGAACCAATTTTCCTTTTTTGGAAATAAAAAACCTCATTTGTGGCGGGGGGGGCGGGGGGGGTGGTAAAGAACACACATCCTAGAACAGAAGAAATTCCTGCATTTCTTTGCTTGTCCCTTTGTCTTCCTATTTGATCTTTCCATTTACTCCCTGCCCCTCCCCCGGCCTTTCCGTTTCCCTTTTCTGATTTTTCTCCAAGCTTAGACCACGGGTGACTAGACAGAAAAAATGTGATTGTTAACTGTGCACCGGGCGCCTCCTCTGGCAGACGTCAGTGAGGCACAGGGGGAACCCCCAGGAACTCCAGTCTGAGGAAAACACACATGGGGAGTCGATGCCCACCACGAGCACCACAACTCGCGCCTGATGGACGAAGCCGCAGGGGAACGCAGGGAGGGTGAGAAAGGCTGCTGAAAACTGAGCGAGATCTAGACAAAAGGGAGGTGACTAGAACTGCGTCATTTTTCTGGAGACAGGAATCAGAGCAAATAAAGGCAAATGCAGATGAAAGCCCGTGGCACAGTCTACGGGACATCGCGTGCTCATTTGCCCAGCCATCGCCAACCCAGCAAGACGAGGGGGCTATCCTCAGTGTGCCTGTCTTACTCTAATCTTCATGACAGCTCGGCAAGGTAGGTTCTATTATTATCTTAATTCTGAAGGTCAGGAATCTGAGGCCAGGAAGATCATGAAATTGCCCAAGGGCACACGATTTACAGGCTGATGATGGAGCCAGGATCCACCTGCAGGGAGTCTGACCCCAGGCTGTATGTGCAAGTGTCTGTGCCTACCACCAGTGCACAGACTATCCAAATGGGGAGTACCAAGAGATAAGACATGGCTAGGGCTGGACTGCGTGTGCAGGAGGTGGAAGAAGGGATGCGAGAGGAGAAGCACCAAAGATGTAAGAAAAAGTCAAGAAAGTATTGTCAACAACAACAAAAGTATGGTCACAAAACCCATCCCAGCCTGTTGGCCTTCGGGAAACCATTCCCCGGCCTTGTTCAGTCAAACTGGTCAGTATTTCTATCTTCTTTACCTAAACTAAACAGTCTAGGGAAGAATTTTTATGCACTGTGACAGCTGTAGCAGAAACGGAAGGTGGTACCAACACTCAAAGTAGAAGGAGACGGGTTAGTAAGGAGCAGAAGCACATGAGGTTTCTGCACTTATTTCCAGAAGCGAGAGTGTTGTGTGTGTGTGCACATGTGGCATCTCCCGGTCTTACACAGACACGCGCGCGTGCACACACACCATATACATTCTACGATAGATGAAAAGCTACCTGGACCCTATTAAGAGCCAAAGCCACACACAAGGAACCTAAAAACAATGCCAAGGATTTCTGGCAGAGCTCTGCTCCAAACGTACCTGCTTCTGGGTCCCGGTTGAAACGGCAGTACTTTGAGTTCTCAAGTGAAGGCAGGCACTGTTCGATGGGCACCCAAACATACGTCTCAGGACACAACAAATCAGAAGGTCTATACTGACCCTAAAGAGAAGTGAAGGAACAAGAACACAGGCTTTACAAACACAGTAACTTCCTGGTTACAAGGCTCCAGAGTTCCAGGAAAGGTTTTAATCACAAATTTAAACAAAGTCAACCAGAAACAGCTTTACTGTAAATACTAGCTGTCTCTAGTAACTGCTTTCCTATCTCAAGAATGCACATTTGATTCAAAAGCTCTCTAAAAGCAATGCATCACTATTTGTGATGCCTGTATTGATGTGGAAGATTCGAGTTTCTACTTCCTTTTGGAAGAAATATTTAATATATGATTCTTGCTGAGCTGACTGCAAAGAATACCCAGTTTCAAAATCAAAGTGAAATGTCTTTTCATATATGAAAGCATAATTTATATATGGAGTGAACTCATTTTCAAAAATGAAATTTTAGAAGTTTTTAATTTGTAGATTTAGTTGATAACACTCATTCCATTCCAATGTACTAAAAACTACTGTTTTGTCAAGAAACTTTCATGAACAATCTAAACTGATATATGTAAATAAAGTTTAAAAAACATTACAGAAATTTTACAGAAATGTCTATAGTTCTCTAGCTTCTTCAAAAATGCCATTTTGCAAGAATGTTTTATATATTTATAACCCAATTATGTACCCCAAGTCTAAAACAAAGACTACACACGAGATGCTGAAGAAAAAAAAAATCATTTGCCCACAGGTACAAATTATGTGAAATTATTTAGTGAAAAACTTCAGGAGTACCAAAGTTAGTTAAAAATTCCAAATATCGGGGCGCCTGGGTGGCGCAGTCGGTTAAGCGTCCGACTTCAGCCAGGTCACGATCTCGCGGTCCGTGAGTTCGAGCCCCGCGTCAGGCTCTGGGCTGATGGCTCAGAGCCTGGAGCCTGTTTCCGATTCTGTGTCTCCCTCTCTCTCTGCCCCTCCCCCGTTCATGCTCTGTCTCTCTCTCTCCCAAAAATAAATAAACGTTGAAAAAAAAAATTCCAAATATCTCTTCTCTAAAACTGCAAACTTCAAAACTCATTATAGAGGTTAAAATCCAGTGCGGTGTCTCCCAATTCTGCTTGGTACAACCCATAGTAAGAAATACACTTCACGCCACAACCTAGTAAGCACAAACACAAATATAGAACTAGAAACAAACCTTTTACTATAGGACGCTTACCCGTGTTATGTAATCTTTTATTTCCTAACCTACTCCATTTTGGTTTTTTTAATGATGCTCCTGAGCCATAAAAAATGCTTTTATGAACGGCAAATGGGTCACAATTTCAGAGTTTGAAAAACACTATCGAATGCCAAACGCTCTACAAAGAATACCGCTGTTATGGGCTCCACACTGTCACATACCTTTATGTCAGACCGGCTCTCTGTAACTGGCCCGCTACGTGGTCACCGTATGAAGCCCCACTCAGATGTACAAGAAACACCACACCCCCCAGTATTCGAAGCAGTCAGAAGTCCGCAAGCTAACGGGGGAGACCGTACAGAGAGAGTGTGTGCAAACTAGTTTCTTCTTGAGAAGCCGGGAGAGAGTTCAAGAAGGATATGGAGTTTTATTGCGGATTTAACAGACTGACTGGAGTTAAGTCCAGGGTAGGATGAAAAGGAATGAGAACAGTCTAGATGAAGGGAACAGTAAAAACAGAGACGCAGAGTTGCAAGATCACCCTGAGGAACAGGAAATAGCGGGGCATTGCAGAAATGGAGACATAGGTTGGGACCAGATTCTGTGAAGCCTCAGAATTCAAGTTTTGAACTCTATTCTGGATGAAATGGGAATGCTTGCTGGACAGGAGGAAGACCAGAACTCAGGTCTATGACCCTGCTTTTTCCAGACTGTTCACTGCCCTGCTGATGCCTCACCGCCCTGGCACGGGCAAGGTCATCCATAGGGGCAGCTCACCAGGTGGTGCACATATTCGTCCAACATGAAAATTCACAACACAGGATTATTTGAGATGAATGAATAATTAGTAGGTGTAATAAAGCCCAATATTCAATGATACCTATCTTGTTAAAAGCAAGATTCATTCAGAAAGTGTTTTCTTGGTGGAAAGCAGCAGCATGATGTGACAATGTCCTTATCAACAAATCTGAAAAACTAGCAGTCTAAAAGCACTGGGTCTAAACCTTTTTTATTTTCCTTTTGGGTTATAGACCATTTTGAAAGCCTGATGAGGAGGAAAAAGCGGAGTTTAAAAAGCTAAGCATAGTTCTACAGAAAAAGAAAAAAGGAGTAAATTTTCTTCACCTTGCAGTATACAAAGATTTCTTAGTGCACAAAAAGCATTAACCATTAAAAACAACAACACTGGGGGCGCCTGGGTGGCGCAGTCGGTTAAGCGTCCGACTTCAGCCAGGTCACGATCTCGCGGTCCGTGAGTTCGAGCCCCGCGTCAGGCTCTGGGCTGATGGCTC